ACACACTGCTTCCTGTCTCTCACACACTGCTTCCTGTCTCTCACACATTCCTTCCTGCATCTCACACACTGTTTCCTTTTTCTCACACACTGCTTCCTCCCTCTTACACACTGCTTCTTGTTTGTCCACACAGGTACACATTCCTACATTGGGAAACTGCCCAAGTTTCTCAGTGGTCATGGTTCTAATATTCTGAATCCAAGGGCCTAAATAAATCTTTCACAGATTGTGGCTGAAAAGCTCAATCATATCTGATAAAATCTTACCCTTAGCATTTATTTTTTCACTAGGGATAATTTAAATTGAAGTATTTTTCCTGTAGTGGTGCTAATGGAAACTTGGTGAGTAGTGCAGTTTTGAAGCACTCGGGTCAGCAGCAGAGGAGCCAGGGAAGACTGTCACCAACCCAACAGCGGTGGGGCCAGAATGAGATGATGCAACACTGGACCCCACTAGGTCAGAACTGAGCCATGTGTTTAGTTTCTCAGATCCAGAACATCTTAGTCATGTTGTGCTGTGTGTGTGTGTGTGTGTGTGTGTGTGTGTGTGTGTATGTGTGTGTGTGGACCTAGAAGTTCCAGGAAAAAAATAGACAATTATTGCTGCCACTGAAAAAGAAAGTTGGATTGCTCACCCAATTCCCCAGTAGCTGGAAGAGGCTGGGAAGGTGGAACTGGTCTGTGGCCTGGGATGATGGGAAGAGAGAGAGAAAAGACAAAGGGGTAGTGTTCAATACACATTAAGAAAAGGAAGCAGGAAGCAGAGATGGGGACACGGGGCCAGGGGAACTGATGGGGAGAGCAACCATCTGCCATGGTGATCAACACAGGCCAGTAGCTCTTTCCCTCTCTACTTCCTCCTGTCCTCACCTACTTCTTCCTCTTCCTTTCCCTCTTTTTTTCTTCCCCTCCCTGGTCTTTTCTCTCCCATCTCCTCCCAGCTCATACCTACTCTTCTCTCCCCTCCTCTCCCTCCCTTTCTTCTCTTCCTCCCTTCCTTCTCTTCCTCCCTGCTCCACTGAGACCACGGCTGAAGCAAGTTGAGGAATCACTGCACTTCTGTGTCCTCAAAACATAACCAATGGTTCATGGGAAATTTAAAGAGTCACTGGGGCTGCGATCTTGACTCAAATCAACTGTGCAGTCATTCAAGATTTTTGCACTACATGTCTGCATTTACACACCAGTTGTGTCCATGATCTCAGCACTTCTGAGGCCTATCTTACAAACAGAGCACACACGGTGGTTAGGAATTCACATATGTGCAGAGTCAGTTACCTGGCCAGCACCCAGGATGCAGGAACAATAAAGTAGTAATGAGCAAATGTGTGTGTGTGCGTGCGTGCGTGTGTGTGTGTCTACTCACAAGCCACAAATACCTGGGGCTCAGATGCTGGCATGTGTCCCAGAAGGGTTTCTTTTGTTTCAGGCCTCTTCTTTTTACTATCTCTACTTCCTCATTTTCAGGAGGTAAGCAGAGTTCCTCCTCTCTTGGGAAATATTATTTTCAGGTGTGTTACTTTTGTTTACACTGCATTTGTTTAACTCTGTGAAGTTGTGATTCTTTGCCTGTCTAAAACATCTGATGGTCTAATAAAGAGCTAAAACCAATAGCGAGGCAGGAGCAAGGATAGGTGGGGCTGACAGGCAGACAGTATAAATAGAAGGAAAAATGAGGAAGAGGAGGAAGACATCAGGGGCCGGCCACCCAGTTACACAGCAAACTACGGAGAAAGAAGTAAAGAAGGTACACAGATGTAAAAAGATAACAGTCCAGAGCAGAAAGTTGGATGGTATAAAATAAGGAAAGCTGGCTAGAAACAAGTCAAATTAAAGCCAGGCATTGAGAACTAAGGATAAGCCTCAGTGTGTGACTTATTTGGGAGCTGGTGGTGGAGACCCCCAAAATTGCAAGAGTAAAACATCACATAATACTCCTCAATGTCCTTCCTCCACAGTGTCCCCACATGAACCTAAAAGCATGGAGGTAGCCAGGTGTGGACTGAGCCTTCGGAATTTGTGAGCCAAGATAAACCCTCCTTCTTTTAAGTTCTTGTCTCTGGGACAAAGGGGGGCTAATGCTCAAGTGCGTGCATATATGGAGCTGCCCCTCAGTCTCTGCAGATTGGCTGCAAGGGCCCTAGATGCAAACTGACTAATGTGCAAATGCATGTGCACACATACACTAACACACATGCATGCATGCATATATGCAGTTGCTCTTCAGTCTCTGCAAAGTGACTGCAAGGGCCCTAGATGCAAACTGACTAATGTGTAAATGAATGTTCACACACATATTAACACACATACGTGCATGTATTCATAGATGCAGCTGCTCTTCAGTCTCTATGAACTAGCTGCAAGAGCCCTCATATGCAAACTGACTAATGTGAAAATGCATGTTCACACACACGTGTACACATGCATACACACATGCATACATCCACAGTAGCTCCTCAGTCCCTGAGGACTAGCTACAAGAGCCCTAGATGCAAACTGACTAATGTGCAAATGCATGTTCTCTCTCTCACACACACACGTGTGCACATGCGCGTACACACACTAACACACACGCATACATGCATGCATTACAGTAGCTCCTCAGTTTCTGGGACTGGCCACAAGATCCTGCAGATAGCAAACTCATATGCTCTAGTCCTTTCTATGTGCTGCACATGCACACTGGGCTAGCAATTTTCTATTTCTGGGACAGGGGCTGGTGAGATGGATGGGAGTTAAGAGCGCTTACTGCTCTCTCAGAGGCCACTGGTTCAGGTCCCAGCAACCATGCCGCAGGATCTACAACTGCTTGCCATTCTATCTCCGGGGGATTTGACAAGTCTTCTGGCCTCTGAGAGCCTCTGAACTAATGTGCATATAACACTGACATATAATTAGAATAAAAATAAATCATATCTCTGGGACAAAAGACCTGAAAGAAAAAAACATAGTGGAGGGGAAGCTTGTATTGGCTCACAATTTCAGAGAAACGTCAATCTAATTTATCAGGGAAGGTGTGGTATTACAGCTTCATCTAATCCTGGTGATAGAAACATGGTGCAGGTGTGGAGGCAGAGGGCCTGGGTTCCCAGCAGAAACAGGAAGATCCCTTAGAGACAATTCCTAGTAAACCATTCCTCCCTGCTAGGGCCCACAGCCTCCTAAGATAGGGCCACCTGCTGGGGACAAAAGTCCCAGTACTTGTAGCTAACACCAAAGACTTGAGCATCCCTCACGGTCACCAAATGTAAACACCGTGTAAGTAGCTATCACCATCCCCAACATGATAGGGAATGACCACAGAGAAAGAAGTCTGCAGATACCAACTACCAACACCCCTCCCTCAAATGTTGTCTATGGGCAGCTGTTTCATCTGTGGACTGGAAACTTCAGATACAGGCTGTGTGCCTGCACACACACACACACACACACACACACACACACACACACCTGCACGTAGATGCATAGCTCACTAGGACGTTTTGGAGCTGGAGTGACAGCTCAGTGGTTAAAAGTTGAGTTCTCTCTCAGTGCTCTCACGTTCGATTCCCAGCACCCATGTCTGGTGGCTCATAACACTCCACACCTCTAGTCTGGGGGACCTGATGTCCTTTTCTGGATTCTGCAAGCATCTGCACTCATGTGTGCAAACCCACACAATAGCGCATAATTAAAAATAAAGTATTTTGAAAATAAGTTTTACTCTTATGATCTCACACTGGAACCAGGGACAAAGGCATTAACCACAGAATCAGAGGTCATTGGCCAACTTCAGGTGTAGTTTCTTGGGTACTTTCTACCTAGTTTTGGAGACAGGGTCTCTCATTAACCTGCAGCTCACTAAGTGTGCTAGGAAGCCCCAGGGAACTGCCTCTTTCCACTTCCTAGTGCTGGGATTACAAACATATAAACCATGCCTGACTTTTTCCTGTGTGAGCAGAAACACTTGAGAACTTTCTGCTGAGATTTAGATTGGACAGGGAGGAGAGTGTGACGTGACTGGTATATGTTTGTCTCATCTCTGGTTATTTCCACAGGTAGCTGGTGTGTCTCTCTGGCCCTAAACCTGCTGCTTAAAAGTGCCACCTGTCAACAACGTGGCACACATACAGGTAAGATCCTCCCCACCCCCGGAGACCATATGGGTTGTGATTCAAGCAACAGAACCAACTCGGGCACAGTCAGATGTTCCCTTGTCCTTGGTAATAAAGCCACACGGGAAGGTAAGTGTTTGTACAGCATATTTTTAAAGCATTCAGGATAGATAAATGCTTGTGGATTTTTTCTTCTTCTTCTTTAAACAAGATCTTGCTCTGACACCTGGGCTACCCTTACACTCAGTGTTCTTTGCCTCCCGGCGCTGGAAAGATAGGCTCACTTTAAGATCGTGAGCGCGTGCTGCACAGTCCACGTGCACACAGGGTAAGGATGCTATGGATGCAGCTGGCAAAATCTTCACTGTGGCCCGTGATATGACCATCACATGTGGAGAGTTTAAACACACTCACGAAAAGCAGGCAGGGTGACAGCTGGAGTCATATTTCACTTGCATTTTAATAAATAAAGCTTGCCTGAAGTTCAGAGAGTAAAAGGGCTGCACTGGTCAGCCTTACAGACCAGGCAGTGGTGACACACACCTTTAATCCCAGAAGCCACATTAGTTTGTCATAGAAACCGGGCAATTGAGATGCACACCTTTAATCCCAGTACTAGACAGGAGACAGCTCTCATATACAGGCTCATTCGGGGATTCCTGGAGGCAGGACTACCATTTTGAGGTAGAGGTAAGATCCAGTGGCTGGCTCTTTTGCTTTTCTGACCTTCAGGTTGATCCCCAATTTCTGTCTCTGGGTTCTAATCAATTGTGCTACAGACAGTTGACTGGTAGGAAAGAATAAGGAAATGACCCAAACAAAGTATGGCTACCTCAGCCTAAAGTGTGTTAGGCCTTTGTTTCCCTAATTCCTCCCTATGACTCTCAATATGACTCTCAATAACTTGCTTGTACCAAGGAGGGATACTCATCCCTGTTTCCCACATAAAGAATCCCCTTGGGTGGGCTGAACTTGTCAGTGTAGAAGGTTTAATACTCCCAGACGAGGAGTCAAAGCCATGAGTCATGTGACGACAAATGCACAGCCTCAAGTTTAACTACTGACGATGTCTCTCTGGATGATGACCTGGGCCCACATTCCGCTGCTTAGTGCACAAGATCAGGGATGCTCTAAAGCCAAGAGATTTATTTCGAGTCTTGTCTAGCCTGAGGTCATCAAGCTGTATCTACTGCTAACCTTCTTGCAGGCAGCATTGCGTGGAGACACAGAGCAGCTCAGGGCAGAAGATGGGAGTACATGAGAGACAGCCAAACTGGGTTTTGCAAAAGATTGTCTTGAGACAACTTGTTAACCTATAAGACACTTGGATGGATTGATGCACTCACAAAGGGAGAACCCTAACCAATTCTTCTCGCCTCTTTTATTTTACTTATTGTTTTCTAATACTAGGGTTGAATTCAGATCTTCCATATGCCAGGCAAGGACAGGAAATCCACCACTGAGCTATATGCCCAGCGATTTACTTTTGCCTTTTATTTTGGGACAGAGTTTTAACAAGTTGCCCAAGCAACCTTTAAAGTTTTAGGCACTCCTCCTCCTCGGTCTCCTAAATGACCGGTGGCTACACACCGGCAGCTCAGGCTCACTAGTTCTGTCCAGTGCATTAAATCCAACACCACGGAGGGGACAGACAACACAGCACAACAAAGCACAGAGCTTGCAGTGAACAGCAGACTGGAGTTCTGTGTGTGCAGTGCTTCCAGGGCCACAGAATACCTTCTTCCTCAACAGAGCTATGGGGATGGAGTGCGGCCTCACTGACCGTTCCTAGCAGCCACGTTAAACACAGATCGGACTCCGGTTTCTAGAAAACTTTTCTTTCCGATCACAAGCAACAGGGCATGAGAGCAGAGGGGTAAACATGGTGTGTCCTGGTTCCAATTCCCATTCTGTCCAGGAATCACAGGAGTAGATCTACTTCTAAATGGGCTGGGACCAGTTCTCTCTTTCCTCCGGTCCTGAGCAAGGAACACCAAGAGGAGGCCATCTAGTGGGAACATCACAGTGTCCCTTGAGGCACACAGAGGAAGTACATCTTACACAGGAACAAGTTCAACTGCTTTGTCCCCACACCTGCCCGCCCCCCTATACTTGAGGGTTACTTTCAAGATAACTCACTAATGCATCCTACCATTGGGAAAGGAGGGCTGGAGAGGCAGGAACGTAGCAATTCTGTGTTCAAATTAGGACAATTTAAACGTGCCTGGGAGCTCGGGTGTGGCAAGGCAATAGGCAGTCCACTGGGGAGTAGTTACTTTCCTTGCTGTGACAAGATGTCTGACGAGAGCCAGGGAAAGAGGGAAAGATTTTTTTTTTCTGGCTCACAGTTTGAGGGTATGGAGGCAGCATTGAGAGGTACTGATCACATGGTGTCCACACTCAGAAATCAAAGAGGGATAGGCACAACGCTCAGCTCCCTTTTTATAAAAATGCTGTGCAGGTCTCCAATCCATAAGACAGTCCTGCCCATATACAGGGTGTGTCCTCTCCTGTCAGATAAATCCCTTCTGAAACACCCTCACAGACACAGAGAATGTTTCCACTCTGATGCCAAGACTAGTCAAGCTGACCATGAAGATTGACTATCATAAATAATATGTACAAGACCTTGGGTTCTCAGTATAGTAAAATGATGAGAGAAAAAAAGAGGAAGGAAAGGGAGGAGGGGAAACAGAGAAAAGTAGGGAGAAAAGTAGGATAGAGGGAGAAAAAAGGGAAGGGAAAGGTAGAGGAGGGAAGAGGAAGGAGAGAAGAGAAGAAGGTATTGGGGAAGGGGAAAAGGTCAAGGGAAAAAATACAAGAGCAATTGAAGCAGGAATACTGAAATAAAAAAATTCAAGCATAATTTCCACTCCACACATCGACTTCTAAACCTAAAATTTCCAATAACACTCAACTCCTCTGAAGGTTCACATCTCTATATATTTAGTAGATATAGGCCTGAAATCCAGAATAGGAAGAAGTTTTAAAAACACATTTTTTTATAGCCATTCTTAGAAACCCACAAGTTATCTCACTTAAAGACAAAAGCCCTTTGATCAAATGGATAATTGTTTCCAATCCCTGAAAATGCAGCCTTGTGGGACTGTTAGATTTTCACCCCTGTTCTTACATTCATAACACCAGAAAGGTATTAGAGGTCAGAGAGGGAAATGAAATCTCGTCAGACAGCTAAAGTGAATCAGAGCTGAACCTTGACCCTGGGTGCTGGGTCTCTCGGGAGTTAGGTGTCTGTGGTCACTGACTTGCACTGCCTGAAATACATGGCTTGGTGCCAGGAGCCTGCGATCAGCCTTGTAGTTTTAATGCTGCATTCACCAGTAGTCAGAACCGTAACACTGGGGGCTTCTCATTTTCGCTACAGTAGTCATCTCGATTTTATTTATATTTTTCAGTGAAATGATTTAAATCACACGTGCTCAGGTACAGAGACCTGACCCTAGAGAGTCTGTTTCTGCGGCAGAAAGAGAGCTTGCACTCCGTGCCTGCCTTTTTGATGCCAGCAACATCCTGGAACAAGAGGACCCGTCAATACATCTTTCATAAGGGCTCTTCCACACAGTGCAGTGAAAAGTCCTTCCAATGCTTCCAGCCCGCTTTCGACTTTACCCTGAATAAAGGGAGGGATTGATCAGGGCTTGGAAAGCCTCCACATTCAGGAGCCTTATGCACCCTGGGAGGCAGAGCTTCAGATGGAATTCAATGGCGCAATAGATCCTGCAGAAAAGACCTGAGGAGAATGGAACCCACGGCAGAGAAGGACAGGGATGGAGCTGTCTAGACCCAGCCGCCTCTTTGCTCACAACAGTCAGATAGAGATATGTGCCCTTGGGTGCTTGGGTAATGGCAGCAAAGCCCTCTTCCAGGGCGGAATGCAGCCTCAGTGCATCCATTAGCCAATCAGTTGTCATTGCTTAAGTGTTTACAGTGGGCCGGGCAGCACACTAGAGACATAAAATGCTCTGGAACAAGGAAATGAGTATTTGGGGTTCAAAAACATATTCTGATCCTCCAAACACATCTACACCCACAACTCCAGTGTCCTGGACCCAACAGCCCTCGGTCGCCTAGAGGCCACGAAGTCAACAATCAGGTTAAGAGCTGTGGCAGATTAATTCTCAATCCTCAGCAGTGACTTCTCCATCGGGGCTTGAACTTGAGGGTTTTCCACTGGAGCAGGGCTGAGGTGGCAGTGCCACTCACTGGGTGACACTGGAAATATCTGCAGACATTGTTGATTGCCACAAAGACCAGAGCTGGGGTCAGAAAGACGCTCTGGCATCTGGTGGGCAGAAGTCAGAGATGCTGCTAACCACCCACAGCGCAAGTCAATTCTTCTTCCTCCTCACCCCAAAGACTGGTCCAGAGCAGAGCCAGAGTTAACAGCCTGTGCCTTGAAAGTAGCCAGACATAACCAGATGGTGATGAAGGCAAACTCCAGCAGCAGGCACAGGACAAGCTTGGAACAAGGAGTATCCCTTCTTCTTTATAACTGTCCATTCCTCTCACCGTTTAAGGCAGCAGCTCTCAACCCACGGGCTGTGACCCCTGTGGATTTGAACAATCCTTCTTCCACAGGGATTGTGTATAAGATATCCTGCATATCAGATATTTTCATTAGGATTCATAACAGCATCAAAATTATAGTTATGAAGTAGCAACAAAATAATTATATGGTTGGGGGTCAGCACACACGCGGAACTGCACTGGGGTCGCAGCAACAGGAAGGTTGAGAACCACTGCTGTAAAGGATGAAGGGTTCTGGAGAGTTGTAGCTTCTCCTTCCCTCCCTGGAAAAAGGCTGGTGTGCAAATATACAGTTGACCATTAGATCTCTGCCTTCTCATCTTTCCTTTGCCCAAAGACTGCTGCAAGCCCCGGCTTCTGTTGCACTGCCCAGGCTTCTGAACTTGAAGGAGACCCTATTTTTCAGGACCCAGTTTCCACCTGGAGACAGGTGGGATCAGAAAACTGAAGCAGACCAGCCATGAGGACAG